AGTTTTAATTTCTAATACAATCAATACTTGTAACTATAACCTACATTAGTAGGTAAAGGTGTCCTGAGACCAAAAAGTTTAAGAACTGTTGCCTAAGAGTTTCTGACACAAGGCCCATGTCATTAGACCATCCTATATAATAAAAGGCTAATAGGCTAATTGACTGAACAGAGGAATGACCGGTTGTTATGATGCGCACTGACCACCAGGAGCTGTAGTATAGAATAAGAGAAAAGAATAGTAAAATGTGTCCCTGGATATTTATCCAGGTCAGATCATACAGAGCTTGTCAGCCATAATAAGAAGTTTGAATTTTATTCAAAGTACTAGGGGCCCGGTGCATGAAATTCGTGCCCTGGGGGGGGGGGGGGGGGGGGGTGTGGACATCTCAGCCCAGCCTGCCCCCTCTCACATACTGGGAGCCCTCAGGGGATGTCCTACTGACGGCTTAGGCCCACTCCCCTCCCCCCTTGGGGAGCGGGCCTAAGCCGCAGTCCTGGCCTCCCTTTGTGGGAGGCGACAGAGCTGATCAGGGGAAGGCACCAGCCCCATCACCCCGCTGCTGCAGTCACTGTCAGTCACCGCAGCCACCAAGGTGTTTTCATCAACATGGACTCCAGTCCCTTCACCATGAAAAAATGACAACTTTCTTTAGGCATTTTCAAGATGTGTCTTTCATAGGATATGACATTTCTTTCTTTATTATTTTTTTTTATCCTCACCTGAGGATATGTTTCCATTGATTTTTAGAGAATGTGGAAGAGAAAGGGAAAGACAGAGAGAAACATCAAAGTGAGAGGAACACTTTGATTGGTTGCCTCCTGCATGAGCCTGGACCCGGGCCAGGGAAGAGTCTGCAACCTAGGTACATGCCCTTGGTCAGAATTGAATCCAGACCCTGTGGTCGGCAGGCCGCGGCATTATCCACTGAGCCAAACCGGCTAAGGCAGGATATGACATTTCTTAGCCCTCCAGCAGCAGACCTTCGTTTTTTTCTCCAGGAGTGTGGTGGAAAACCCTAGATCAGTGGTTCCCAAACTTATTTGGCCTACCGCCCCCTTTCCAGAAAAAATATTACTCAGCCCTTGGAAATTAATTTTTTAAAAATTTTAATAGCAGTTACTCATCGCCCCCAAATGCACCTGTGGCCATCACCGCCCCCCTGGATCGCTGCAGCGCCCACCGGGGGGGGCGGTAGCGCCCACTTTGGGAATCACTGCCCTAGATCACCTTTTTGGATTCTTATTACCCAAGTTACTAAAAATATTACCAGTGGCATACAGGGAGCTTAGCCAATGAGCGGTCAGAAAAGGTGTTTCCTCTGCAGTTCACACCGATCCCCGGCTCAGCGCCTGCCAGGCCTAAAGCCTCGGGGCCTGGGCAGGGGACCCCCAGACCCTCCCATCGCCGGCTCCACCCCTGCCCAGGCCTAAGGCCTCTGACTGAGGCTTAACCGCCATCTTAGTTGGTTTATTTTGCATACTCGCTCCTGATTGGCTGGTGGGCGTGGCTTTGTGGGTGTAGCAGAGTGATGGTTAATTTGCATGTTTCTCTTTTATTAGTGTAGATAATTTTAAAATGTTATGTTTTAAAAATGCAGCTGTGTGTAATATGAGAGACAACTTGAATGAACTAGGATTGGGGAATCTGAGATGGAGACATAAATCTGTGATGTATTTTTTAAAGTACTTTGATATTTACCTCAAAATGAAGCTCCAAACAATATGTTTTCTGTTTCCATTTTGATGTTAAATAACTCAAGTTGCTCTATAATCAATCAAACTGAAGGTGGGATGAGAAGAATAAACCTACCCAACATTTTAGAAATGTCACATGTACACTAAATCCATACTCAATATTCTTATATAATGATGTTTAAATTTATTTTTAGTCACAGTTTAAAATTTTTCTGAAAACGGAATACCATGAAATATTAACTTATAAGGCATCTATAATAATAAAAACAAAATATGCTAATTAGACCGGATATCCTTCTGGATGAAGCCGAGGCTGCAAGGGAAGCCCGGATCCCGGGTGCCAGAGAGAAGCTGGTGCCGGCAGCTGAGGGAAGGCCTACTCTTGCACGAATTTTGTGCTTCGGGCCTCTAGTATCCTTATAAGTTACATACCAAGGGAATAAGTGAACCTGCAGATTCAATAATGCAGCAGGCACTATTCGAAACTATAGATAACAGAATCAACAAGACACACATTATCCCAGCTCTTACCAAAGATTACTGGTAATCTTTGAGGACTCATGGCAGAACAGTAGAAGTGTTTCAAATAATTTATTCATTCAAATAAACACTTATTGAGTATACACTGTGTGCCAGGATCTACAGACAAAAAGATCTGAGTAGACAGGGATTCTGCCCTAAGATTTTCACTGACTAGTAGAAAGAATTAAAAATATGTATTTCCAATTATGATGTAGAGTGTCATAAGCACTATTATAGAGGCATGTGTGATGTACCAATTCAAAAAGAAGTGAAGGGGGTCAGCCACAAAGGAGAAAAAGTTTACCTGAGTGTTGAATGGGAATCAGCTAATACATGGAGTAGGGAAGAGGGAAGGTCTGAGATATGAAAACCCCTAACAGGTGAGACAGGGATATAGGTAGGTCAGAAAGGTTGGTGTCTAATGTGCGTTTCAAATTTTTAATTTTAAAGGGGTAAAACACCAATTTTGTAATCTACACGTAAGTTAACCTAATAACCATATTCAAAGGAATTACTCACTACTCAATATGGTTTGGGAGCACTATAGAGAAAAACACAAACAGCTCTTAGAAATCAGATATGTTACCCCCTTAAAGTCATCTTCACAAAGCAACTGATAGTTCAGGTTATTTCACCTAAACACGATCCTGGTCCTCAAAGAGCTTACCTTCTAGAACTAGAGATGTGGTGAGCACTAATTACAGTGTGCACAGGTAACAAGTCTAACAAAGTGAGTTCAAGGTGCTATGACAGCCTCTTCCCATAGAGGCAGAGCTGGGTGAGAAAAGCCTTCAGTGTTGGTGATGTAAGTGGTATCTTGAAAGATGAGTGGGTGTTTGACACTGTAGACAAAGGGGACAGAGAAGGCATTATACACAAGAGCCTATGCCAAAGAAGAAATGCCACAAAAGAGCAAGGCCTATTTACAGAACTGCCAATAGACCAGTTTGAGGCAAAAGAAGCTAAGAAGGGGTGACAAAAAATAAGGACAGACAAACTGGGCATTGATCACCATGCTACAGAGTTTAAATTTTAGCCAAGAAGGAATGGGGAGGTAAAAAAGAAGAGAGATAGAATCAGAGTTGCCTTTTTAAAAATGAAACATTTTAGAATGATTTTGATAACTAACAGATGGTTTGAAGGGGGTAAGAAGCAATTAGGAGACTGTTAGGAATACACAAGAAGGGACAGGGACTATTAGGAATATACAAAAAAGAATAGGGAATGTTAGGAATATACAAGAAAGGATAGGGACTGATAGGAAGGATAGGGACCTGCACAATCTCCTAAATTCAACTTATCTTTTCTGCCAGACCTGCTCCTTCTGGTAAATGGTATGTAATACCATTACTTCAGTGAATTGCATAAGTCTCCTAGAGCTGTCATAACAAAAACCCACAAACTTGGTGGCTTAAATGAACAAAAATTTATTCTCTCACAGTTCAGGATGCCAGCAGCCCCAAATCAAGGTGCTGGCAGGGTGGGTTTCCTCTGGAGACCCTGAAGGAGGCACTGCCCCATGCCCACCTCCTAGCTTTTCGTGGTTGCCAGCAATCACTGGCATTTCTTGGCTCGTAGACCTATCACTCCAAACTCTGACTCCATCGTCACAGAGCCTTTCCCCCTGTGTCTCTTTATGTCTCTGAGTGTCTCTTATCAGGGCACTTGCTTTGAATTTAGGGCCCACCCTAATCTGCTATGATCTCATCTCCACATTTATATCAGTTACATCTGCAAAGACCCCATTTCCAAAGGAGGACACATTCTGAGGTCCCAGGTGGACA